TTTAGTCTTTGGGGAAGGAAGATGAAAAAGTTGCTTCATAAACTGACAATGGGCGATTGTTCTCAGCTTCTTATCCTGGAGGCACGCAGGATAATGAGAGCTATAGAAATACTTGGACAGATTGATTATATGGAGCAGATAGGAGTCCCCCAGCACAGGCTTCTTGTGCATTTGCAGAGTAATGGACCTCCTCGCTCTTCTGGTGTACGTCACCGCTCCCCATCTTCGCAAGAAATTAAACTGGCTTTGTCTGCATGCAGCTACTGGGGGACAAATGTGACAACATCAAAATAAAGAAACACAGAAGAGAGCAGACAAATTGGACTGAATTGCCCATGTCCTACGTGGGCAAGAGCGATGCAATGCAAAATAAAAATTGGGAGACATTAGCAATTTCTGGTTTGAGGGGTGGATTAAACAGGTTTCCATCCAGACTGCACTCGCCCCGCGCACGCAGAATTCTTTATGGAGCGACTCAAAAAGATACCCAGTGTAAGATCACTGAAAGCGCCACATCAGGAGGTGGTGCTCTGAAAACGCCAGCCAGTTAAATTTATCTGACTTCTTGGTTCAATATGTGGAAAACTAAAATTTCTCCACAAAAGGAAATTTTAATTTGAAGACTTACAGCTTGGGTAGCTAATGAAGAGGCTACGGCTTTAACCTCTGCCAGAGGAGTCATCCCTTCATCAAACATTAAATCAACAGACAACAGAAGTTGGGGAAATGATGTTATTAAAATTCTAATGTGGAAATTCCCAATACTTTTCCCCAGCATACATAAAAAATAAAACGATATAAATATAAAAGAAATCCAACAGATGTAGCGTCATATGGACTTGCTTAATGGCAACGCTTAGCCTTTCAAAAAAAGATTTACATCTACATTCACTACTAAAACTTGACATTTGCATTGAATAATTCATAATTTGTTGCTTGCTGTGCCTTGCTGCCTTTCTTATATTCCTAAGTAATATTAGCTTTGCTGTTAGTGAAGTAGATCAATTCTAACAAATGCAGATATTTTGTTGTTACTCTGTAAAACGTGAATATGTGTTTAGCTAAACCCATGTTAAAATTTCCCCGGCAAGAACTCTTTGCCTATAATAGAAATGCTCTGTACAGATTTAATTCGCACCATTACTGGGCTCTGGCCTAATTCTCCCACAACTATTCCAAGTATTTTAACAAGAATCACATGTAGTTTGGACGTGTGTTTCCATGCCTACATGTGTCTCATTTTAAGACAAACTCATTCCACCTAACTCTTTGTATGGGTGCAAACGAAGTTGCTGTCAGGGCTCTTCCACCAAGCTGTGGAGACCTTCTCCCACCTCCCACCGCTGTCTGACCCGAGGCTAAAAGGAGAGGTATTTGAAGACACAGCTGGATTCAGCATCTGTACAGAAACTTGTCAAAGTGGGTGCTAAAGCAGGACTAAATACGCGATTTCTATAAAAGCTATTGCCCCGTTGCAGGTTTTAGGGTTGCAAATACCATGCTTGCAGCTTTATAAATCTCCTAAGGTCTTTAAAATGTAATTTTAATTCTAACATTTTCTTTTCTATTTTCATTATTCCCTCACATCCAAGTTATGAACTACAAAGGCTTAGGTAGCATCAGGTTCCACCAGGCAATTGGGAGAGAAGAAAGCGGTGGCTGTGTGGAGCTGCGGGGTCTCCTCCCGTCAGTTGCTTTCCAGCCTTTCTCTCTGGGAGAAGTTTCTTAGTTTATTCATTCAGACTAACGGATCAAATAGCACAACACAGATTCAGTTCACTACTATAGCACATGCTGAAGTGCCTAAAAATTTTATTTTTTCATTAATTTAATCTTTTTCCTCACCAGTGGACAAGCCTGCTTCCCTCACCTGGAGACAGAGCACTGCTCTGCATCGTACCCTGAAGGAGAACCACTTGAAGAACCAATATACACAGCCTCAAAGCATGGGTATCTAGTAAGCCTTTCAACATGTTCTGGGTGTTTTGGGGGGACTTTTTTTTTTTTTTTAAATTAAACCTCTTTTTTCTGTTCTACATAGTTTATACTACTTTTAGTTCAACTTCCACTTGAAATATCACATATATGATTAGGCTTTATTATGCAGAAAAAGTTCTTGCAGAGCATGCCAATGCAGCCTTAGGATGGTGAGATGGGAACATAAAAATCTTACGTTTAGTAACTGGAGTAGGGGAGGATGTCAGTGATGCTCCTTGCTGCTGTATCACTAATTTTGGAGGTTCCTGGCTCATAAGGTACAATAACTGTCCTCATAACTTAAAAAGCAAATTAACAGACAGGCTGTGTCCTTGTTTCAGCTGGGATAGAGTTAATTTTCTTTCTAGTAGATGGTATAGCATTATGTTTTGGATTCAGTACAAGAAGAATGTTGATAACACACTGATGTTTTCAGTTGCTGCTGAGCAGTGTTTAGACTAAGTCAAGGATTTTTCAGCTTCTGATGCCCAGCCAGCAAGAAGGCTGGAGGGGCACAAGAAGCTGGGAGGAGACACAGCCAGGGCAGCTGACCCAAACCTGCCAAAGGAATATTCCATACCATGGGACATTATGCCCAGTATATAAACTGGGGGGAGCTGGCCAGGGGGTGCAGACCACTGCTCAGATTCTAACTGGGCATCAGTCAGTGAGTGGTAAGCAATTGCATTGCGCATCACTTGTTTTGTATATTCCAGTTCTTTTATTATTCATTTTTCATTTTATTATTGTTATTATTCTCATTATTATTTTCTTGCTTTCTGTTCTATCGAGCTGTTCTTATCTCAACCCAAGAGTTTTACTTCATTCTTCCCCCAATTCTCTCCCCCATTCCACTGGGTGGGGGGGAAGTGAGTGAGCAGCTGCGTGGTGCTTAGGTGCTGGCTGGGGTTAAACTATAACAGGCTGTCATGACATCATCTGAAATGGCAAAAGCCTCAAATTTCACAATTTATATTAACTTCATTTTTCTGTAAAATAAATTTTTGACTATCTGAAAAATGAAAAGCAGGCTTGAGATGACTGGCACACAGTTAATTAATTGGGCAATGGAGTAGGTGTGCCACTGGGCTATCTATTTTTGAATACTGCGATGACACCTTTGTGGCCAGAAAATAATTTTGCTGTATTGGGTTGGCTTTTTGAATGTCTTTCTGTACCGACACTGAGAGGAAGAATTACAAATGCTCCTGTTTGTTATTTTGGTTGATGAAACTCTTAAGATGTATGAGACCAAGTTGGGGAACCACAGATTCTCTTTTCAGTCACAATTAAACAAATGAAGGATAGGATAGAAATAAAAACAGAAAGAGAATAGAATAGAATGGAATAGAATAATAGTAAGAAAAAAGTTTTCCCTTATTTTTCAGAGGTAAATCTTCATTTTTTTCCTCAGAAGCAGAGAACAGTTTCCACATTTGAGAACAGATAATGGCAAACCCCAATACCTTTTGTTATTTTTATGATTTTTTCTCTTCCTAGAGAAAAATCAGTGAGAGCAGCAAGAAATTATTTTCCTGGAACTGAAAATGAGTGGTTGGTCTACCAGGAGTTAAGAATTGCTTCTCTTTCAAAAAGGCCTAAAATGATTGTGATTTGATGAGATGGAAACTTCTGAAGTAGGATTAAAAAAAAGTCTATTCTATAAAACTGTTTTCTGTCTGAAAAGTTCGTGGTTCCTCACACCCCCCCGCCTATGTTCACATGCTATAGGTATACGTGAAGCAGAAATCAGCTCAATAGAAGTTATGTATATTTTTTGAACCGAAAGCATTTGTCTTCTGTATTTTTAGGATACTATTCTTTTGGTCTTTTTGCATTGCAGTGTTAATGGTTCCTCAGGTCGAGAATGCTTTTTTTTTCCTTATCTGTCCAGTCTCTCACGCTTGCTGGTTGTAAATAACAGTTAATAGGTATTAACGCCATTAGCCAAGCAAAATCATGAACGCCCGCAGGAGGACTCACCTGCAAATCTTCTGCACCACCAGACCTGGATGTGGACGTGGCTGTAACAGACTTTATTCTCCCATCCCATATTGTTTAGCTGGTTTAGCGCCGTTCAAAGCCAGACTCAAACTGGGGCTCAGACCCAGCTCGCTCATCTCATTGGTATGGATTCCTGCCTGTAATTCTAAAACGCCGGCTGACATTGCATGCGCACGGTTGTTCTCTTTGACTCAGGGCAACCTACGCTCACGCTCGTTTGGGGTTTGTACACAGGGATACATGGGGATGCTCTCACTCTGCCTTCTCCACTCCGCCTCGTCCAGGGTAAGTACATCAAAACCCTTCCCACTTCCCATCTCTTTTCCAAAATAGGAATTTCCAGAAAGAACCATTCTCTCTCTCAAAAATATTTTTTTTTTCTCTTCTAAATCCTAACCCCTTATCTTCTGTTGGCACGGCACTCAATTACAGACAAATACTTATCTCACAGCAGGTAAAAACTGAGAGATGAAATCTCTCCAGAACCTGCTTTCGCGGGGAATATTTCAAATCAAATCTCGGATTTTTTTTTTTTTTTAAAGCAACAACAAAAATGGCTTTTAAGTCTTCACAGCCAATAAATAAATTGTAAAACCTGGCAGAGAGAAACGAACTACGGAGGCCTGACTTCCCGCTGCTTAGCTTTCAAATGCAAAGCAACTATAATGCATTACCACTGCAGTTTAAATAACAGCTTGCAACACAAGGTTGCAAGAGGCTGGCGGGACTTTTTGGGGTACGTCTGCTTGGGCAGCATTTATTACAGCAGTACGAAACCAACACCTGATGTAACCCCTGCGTCTGAGCAATACTGTAGGAAATATGTGAGAGCGGGCTTGCTTTTTGACAGTAAATCTCAAGTGCCTGATAACCAGGTCCAGAGACGCCAGCAGTGTGGGCAGAAATGCTTGGCACGGTGGCTGCGGGCTCCCAGGGCTCGGGGGGTCCCCGGGAAGCCCCCAGGCTCGTGTCCTGGGGGTATACAAATGTTTTTTTTGGTAGGATTGATTTTTTTTCCTTTGGAAGCCTCAAAGTGTTTTTCTAGAGTCGATTCGACACCAGCGTGAACTATGCTTGCAGTGAATTTGGAACCAAACGATCTGTCGACACGTTTGGGATTTTGTACATCAGTAACGTGCTTAAACCGCTGGATAAATGGTATTTTTGGGGGAATCCTGAAACACGAAGGTCGAGTTGCTCAGCTAGAACTGGTAAAAACAGCAGAGAGAGGGAGGGGACTGAGGGCTGTGTTAACAGAGCGGATCTGTTTTGACTTGGATGAGCAGGTCCTGGGTTGTGTGAGCAAAAGCTTCAAGAACCATCGGCTTCCTCAACTTACCCGTCGGACGTGGCACCCGATGATGTGACCTTCACGGAGGGCACAGCAGGCAAACTAAGGACAGGTGATCGGATTTGCAGTCTTAACTGTGAATTCTCTTGGCTTTTTATGCATTTAAATCAACCTCAACGTTGTTGGTTGCTATTTAATTTGATAGCGGTGCCCGTGGCCCCATTTAGGACCAGGCAACCCATCGTGGCATCTTACAAATACATAGGAAGACAGTCCCTGCCCCGAAGAGAACATCACAGTAACTTTTTTTTCTGGTGATTTAATCATAATATTGACAACTTTATCAAAAATTACAAAACTGATATTAAAAAAATCTCTAATTCTTAGTAAGACTAGAATGGGTTTTTTTAAAAAATAGAAAAGCACTTTTATGCTACGGCTCTTCTGGAATTCTCACATTACAACCCTACATAGCAAAATACAAACTGTAGCTAAGAAAGGTAGCAGTCCTAAGGTAATTCAGTCCACCACGAGCCCTCTAATATCTCTATACCATCAAACTCAGGGACTCCAAAAGGATATCACATTACTTATAAACCTTCTGCAAAGCTGATTTAGGAAATACCTTTAAATTTTAAGTTCTTTTAAACCCCTAAAACCTTAGACTGTGAGGATAATAGACCTGGGACATCAGAGGTGGGTTTTTTGGATTTTTTTTTTTTTTTTTAAACTAGGTGGATATTACTTTTGCAGCTGATACCAGCCAAACGTTTTCTGTCAGAAGTGAAAATATGAAGAAAATCCATTGAAATAAATGAAAATATTTTTTTATGGTGTTCACAAAATGCACCATAATAGAAAGAGGAATATTTCCTTTAATTTGAATGTCATCTGAATGACTCAACCACATTGTCACCCACTTAGCAAAAGAAAGCATAATAAATAAATAAATAAATAGACAAGAATATGTAACACTTTACATCCTCAAAGAATCACGTAGTTCCCTAATCTACCGAGATACTGATTGACATCGTGGGCTCGCTTTACTCAGCCAGTTCAGTTTCGTGTGATTGTGCCATATTAATGACAAATAAAGTGTTGTTCCACTTTCCACAATGGAGTATTTTTTTTTTCACCTTTTAAATATAGGAATTCTCTCTTAAATTAGAAAGTAGGCAAAAAGTAGTTTTTAAATTTTCATTTTTAAGTCTTCTATTAGAAAAAATATAGATTTATTAAACAAAAAATAATAAGGTAGAAAGAAGGGTTGGGCCTCCATCAAAAAAGTATATTATGCTTTAATGCAAAGAGAAAGAAATGGCTCTATGGGCAAAATTCAAGTATGAGTGACCAGTTTTTTAATCGTAAAGTAGGTGCAACATTTTTTAAAATGTTACAACACTGCATGACCTGTAATGCTCACAATATTTACATTAACTGCTTACATGAAACCATAAAAACTCTAAAAGAGAAAAAAATTGGTATGGACTGAAACAAACTACTCCTAGCACCCACATCAATGCCATTATTAACCAATGAAATCAAGTGCACAAAAATACTTTACATAGTCTACTGATGTAAAGTATACATTGGTGAGAAAGTACAAACCTAATTAGTTAAAATGCCAAAAGAAGGGTCGGTCAATACAAACTCAGTTCTAGGACAGAAAGCAAAGGGAGAAAGAAACTAAATCGAGACAGGCGCTCACACACGCACACATACACACGCACGCACGGAGTGATGAATTAAAACCCAGGCGGGTGCGGACAAGACAGCAGGGAAGCGGGCTGGCGTGGAAAATGGACGACATCGACTCTTGAAACGAACACATCGACTCGGAACAGAAAAACGTGAGCTAAGCTCCCCCCCCCCCCCCCCCCCCCCCCCCAAAATTTTTTTTTTTTTTTTTTTTTTAAAAATTAACAAAATCGATCACTTCACACGAGCTTGCATGGAGGACGGTGGCGTTACAGAAAAGACAAATGAACCTACCCCGCGGAAGGAAGGGCTCCTGCCTCCAGGCCCCTGTAGCCAGTGTAGCTATTGCGATCCCTCGGGCTGGGGGGGAAGGAGGGACGAGAGCCGTTTTGCCGGACATGAGAAAGCCCAGGGGCGAGCCCAGAGGTAGTGCTGCGTGCTCTGGCACGCGAGAGCCGAGGCTGGGAAAGCCGCCGGGTCCCGTCGTCCTCGGGGACAGCTGGTCTCGGTCATGTCCTTCGGAGAGAGGAGTTTGGGACTTGGGCAAGGCGGATGGGAAGAGGAGCAAGGACTTGTGATCCTGGCGCCGGGTATCTGGAGAGCGGCGATACCGCCAGCTTCCCGGGATGCTGATCACTGCCAGTCCTTAGCTGGAAAGTGAGATTTGGGAATTCGGGGTGGGGTGGGGGGAGCGGAAAAAAGGAAATCTGAGGTAAGTGGTGGTCCCGGACGAAGAGGGAGGGGTTACGGACTCCACCCCGGGACCGGGAATGGTGAACGGAGTTATTTCAGGAAGCCTTGAAGACAAAGGACGTCATCGCTTCCATCACCATCACCACCAGCCGTGTTAAAAAGAAAAATGAAATCAAATGGAAATGATGTTGTGCTACACTTCCGTTTGTTAATTTTATAATGGCTCATAGCTTTAGACTTTTAAATCTGTAGTGTATTAATTTTTTCTACATATGTTTCACATTTCTCACTTAATATAACATAAATAATTTGGTTAATAGATTTAACCTGCACATTTCAGCCACATTAATATATATAAGAATCTGTTAATGGTATAAATAATTCTTTTTAAATAAAATAAATCTGATATGTTACATAATACTGATAAAAATTACTGTTGCTAATAGTTTTGAAAGCCACCCTTAATTTTTTTGTTTTAATACTGCGAGATGGATACTGGAATTACTTTTACGAACGCTGCGGAGCATGCCCTTTCATTCTACTGCAAAACCAAACCGTAATCAATACTGATCACATTGTTAAAGCAGGGCCTCTGCCCCCTTTAAAAGTAAACATGATGGTTAATGACGTTAGATAATTTAAGCTAATAAATCTAGGGGTTTTGAGGGGTCGACGTTACGGGGGATATAAACTGTTTAGTTTATCAGGTGGCTATGAAACTTTAACTACAGAAATGGTTGACTAAAATAGTCCATCTACTTTTTTTCCTTTTTAATAAAATCTACAGCATTCTACTTTAAAAGCTAAGTAAATAAAAACGCAACCGATAGTTGCAGCCTTTGAATTATTAATTAGAGCTGTGATCCCACATCCCGTTAGGAATCTGCAAGGTTGCACTCTCCTACAGAGACCTGAAATGGAGTACAGTACTTCCAGGCAAGGTTCATTCCAAACAGACAGTATCAATGAACACTCAGTGGCGTGAAGTGTATGTCATAATTAAGGTATTACATAATCATGCCTTCTCTCTGCTGTTAAATACAAAAACAGCATCTTTTACATTATCATATAAAAGCATTTAGGCTGTATTTTTATTTATCACTTTACACTGGTAGTCTCTTGTATGTGTACTCAATAGAAACCAAAGAATTTTGTACACTATTTTTTGTACAATAAAAGATAAAGTGTGCATTAGGTACGCTTGTACATGACAATATTGTACAATATTTACATTTCAGATATCACCATGAAATTCTGTATTATCTATATACACAATGAAAATTTCTCAGAAACATTTGGACTATTTCTTATAATCACAATTTTAGTATTATAGAAAAAAATTTCAGTAATCATCTGACATTGTTACTGCAACCTTTCAAGATTTCTGATTGGCTTATCCAGCAACCGCTATCCCTCCTAAGCATCAAAAATATTGTACCACTAATCCGCGTAGCACCCTGTGATGGTATCTATCTGTCTTCATATAAATATTGATATAACCACGTCTATATCAATACCTACATATAGACTTATGTGCACGTTCATTTTGATAAGTACTGGACCAGTAACAAAGACATTCAATGTTATCTAGAGATCTTCCTCCTCTTGGGTTTTGGAGGCTTCACTTGTCTGTCTCCCTGTGGGATTTGGTGGACCTAAAAATAAGTACATTTAGAAGTTAGCGAAGAATATTGGTCAACGTAACCAGCCAGTAATAAATGTGCTACAGGATTGCTTGAGGTGCTGTTACGAAACGGTTCTTATTATTTCATGTCTACAGGGAAGCCCGAATTAAAGGCAACTTCAAGAACTTTAAGGCAGCAGGGAGAAAAAGGTCGACGCCGCAGTGGGTACATCCCGAACCTCTGCTACCCTGGCGAAAGGTACCGGCTACAGTAACTGTGAAACCGCATAATCGGGAACTGCACCCAAAACTACAGTTATGTCAAATTCTCGGAAACAAACCTTTATACGTTGTCGTGACAAGAGCAATAAAGTAGGAAGTAGGTGGTGAGAAAATATTGCTAACAGGGAAAAATAAGAGAAGTCAAACGCAGGTCTGCGGCAGCACTATTAAGGAACAAGCTATGTTTAGCAAACTCTGCCTTCATCTAATTATTAAAAGGAAATATTCAATTTCGAGCTAAATGCTAGATTAATTTAGAGCGTAAAACAGTTTTTCATCACCGACTGCTCGGTAAAAAGCACAATGTGATGGGAAGAAGGGATGTGGAGGCAGGCGCTGGTGCCTGGCGTGGAATACCACCACCATCTGTCGGTGGAAGCCAGTTGCTGTTCTGGGAAGAGCAGTCCGCACCTTCCCAACAGCAGGCAGGCAACGAACCCGCCAGCAGCGTGCTCCCTTACTTCCTTGGGTCCTTCCTGAATTCCTTCAGACCGCTAACATTTACTACCTATTTATCGGCTCTTACCAGCAGAGAGAATTCTTTGAGCTAATTATCTTGTTTGCACACGCTTTTCATTTAAAATGTAACTGAACAGTAGTAGCTGAAAAAAAATGCAAGTCACTAAAAAGAAAACCGCTGATTCCCTGTAAGTGTTTCTAGGAATCATAATCTTTACAGAAATAAGCCCCGATTACAAATTTTGTGACCAGGTAATTAAAATATAAAGCAAGACTGTGTAATGACATGCAGGCTGGTACATCAGCTTGTCTGCATTACGAAACAACCAGAACAGCAAATCCAATTACAGCTGTTTCCCCCGAGCCAGTTTGTATCATAGTTAAAATGCATATAGCATACAGTTTTTAGTGTTACTGGATTTATAAATGAAAAAAGGTATCAGCAGAGTGGGCCAGTCCAAACATAAAGTGGTGTAACCAACACGGAAGATGTGTGTGCCAAACACGTATCCCATATTTATTTGTAACAGACCTACAATCAGATCCTGCTTTCTTTTTCCTTCCAAAGACAAGAGGAAATCACATGTCATTTTAAATAAAAACTCAATCTCATTTGATAAAATTCACAAGTTTAAACAAAAGATTTGATTCTATAATTACTTACGGCAGCCACTAAAAGCTACTGAATAACTTACTTAATATTTCCTGGTGGTTCTGAAATCAGTTCTAAGTCTGCAGTTCTGTATATATTTCCTTTTATAAACTCCAGAAGCTCCCCTGAAGTTTTACTGCTACTTCTAAATATGCACAGGTACAACCATCTGCGGTACTGAGCACTGAATATCAGGAAAAAGACTTCTTTTCTGTATTCAAATGTTTTATAATTCTTAATTTGAATATTACCAATGATAAGCTATGGGAGGTTACATGTGCTGTGATAGACTTTTTTGCATTTCTACATGTGCTTCAATGAAATTACAGCCATGTTTTAAATATGAAGATGAGTACATTATATAAACCAAATTTTCTAGTAGAAAGATCCTGGGCTTGCATAATAACAGTGTAATTATTGTAGAAGGAACACTGTTAGATTTGATATTAGGAAGACTCTTTTCTTTTTGAACTTACCTTTCAAGACAATATCTTCCATTTCGCATAAGTAAAACTTTAATCAAAGAGTTTTACATTCAAAAGAATGATGCTTTTAAATGCGGTTTCAATATCTTGCTACTTCAACGGAAAAAAAAAATGAGCCTGATTTTGTGTCACCAGTCAGAGAAAACCCATGGAATATGAGTGGGACTGGAACTGATCCAAATATTATCAGGCTGCATGTGTAAAAGTATGTCCAGGAATCTACCTTTGTGAAAAAATAATGCAGTTGGCAACACAACTAATATTCTACAACTTTTGCCGTTTTTCAGAACGATTAGACATTTGCAAACAGTTTTTAATGCAGGAGAGAAATTGAAAATTCCACATTATTTAAGAAAACAGAAACAAAATTTATGTTAGAAAGCAACCCAAAGCAGCACTCCCAGTCTTCAGCTGACATGCATGCAGAAACATAGCAAAAGGAGAAAATTATTGCTAATGTGAAAAGAAACTTACATTCCCAGACATTTTGTCTAGTTCACTCATGGCCTCGTGTATAGCAGCTTCTAAATGGTTATTTAGCTTTCCACTTCTAGGAAGAAAAAACAAATGCCATCAGTAATTCTTAGTAACAGAAAAACACTTTAAAAAATTAATAATAAACACGTTAACTCGTTGGACATATTCTACTAACTGTAGAGCCTCCCAGGCTGTTATAGCACAGATAGCAAGATCAGACCTATATACAATATTATGCAAACTAAAGGCTTGTGTTGTAATTACCAAAGAAAAATTAAAGCCAGCACCTCAAGGAGTTGTATGGTTAGTTCCAATATCCGCAAGATGGATTACATCCATAAATAAAATGCAACAGTACTTGACGGTAATGTAGCGTTTTGTGCAATCTTTTTTTAAAATCGTTAGTAAAGGGCCAGACTCTCAGGAGCAGGAGAGGAGTACTCCAGCTACTCTGGACTTTCTTAAAGACTTCAAGTGTTACTAAACCTCTAGGGCCAGCTCGCCTCTGCCTGCTTCCCACTCCATGTTACATGCTGCGTTTACTTTGTAAATGTGGTTACATTTCAGCAATACTTTTGTGAAGAACTAAATACGTACACTGCCGTCTTCTTGAAAAATCAGTGTGTGAGCTGCAAAGTCTTCCACTTACCCAAAGCACAAAGCTCAAAGTTAAATACCCCTTCTAACTTTCAACAGCCAGAGGAAAATAAGCCATATTAATCCTCTAAAATGTTGCTAGTTTAACCCTGGAATGACAGCACGCCAAGGGCTATGGTAAAGGTAGGGTGAAGACTTTCTTCCTTCAAACCAAAAGTTACCCCAAGTCACTGGGCAGTTCCATACACACTTAATTTTACAGTGACATTTTTGATTTACGTGTATTTCTTCTTTAAAGAAGTTTCCCACTTGAACACCGTGCTCTGCACGACAGGTCATACTTCTGTGGCTCCGTGTTCACACTTGAAAAAGAACTTCAAGCTAACAAGTCGTACGTGAGCACAAGTTACTGTCGTTTGTCGACAGCTTCTTGAGGATCTGTGCTTAAAAAGAGGTACATACATATCTATTTAGATAGGCTGGTTCTTTCATGACTTCACCTGAATGGGTACATTTAGAAGAGTAATGAACTTGAAGACAAATGGCTGAATATGAGATGAGAGAGAGATCATCCTGGAGATGAGGGACTGTTTTATGAGCATCTATCACAATATCCTCAGGAAGTCAGAAAGTCCCGTTATCCCTGCTCTGGAGAGGCAGAAATGAGGGGAGGAGGAAGAGCCGTCTGCACCGTGAGGAAAGATCATGGAAGAGACGGGTAAGAGAACAGCTCATCCCAAGCTGGCACGGATGGTCGGCTCACTAGGACCCTCCCTCACAGAAGAAGACACTTTCTAAAAAAACCCCTTTCCTTTTAATAGAGCAAGCAAGCTCATCATGTCAGCTGGGACATTCTTCCCTCCAACTTAACTGTTTATGGCAACTAAAAGCATTGGCAAAAGATTGACAAGGAAGGAGCTCAGATGAACTGTATGACCAGCGTTGCTCTACAGTAATTCCATCCCCTAGTTCAGCAAAATGATTTTCATACCCATCAGCACAGCTGGGAGATCGAAGACAGTACATCAGAGGGTCTGTTATTCAAGTAAGATATTCTTTAACACCACTTTGCAGCAGTCATCTGAGCTATACCAGGGCATGAATTGCACAAAAAATTAAAAAAGCTAGAAACCTTACTGACCTGACTGTACAAGAGTCAAGTATAATAGGACTTCATCCACGTATGAAGTTGCACAAGTTTATGGCCTTGAATGAATTAGTTAAAACGGTGGTAAAGGAGTTTTGTGCAACTGTAAAATTATGTACCCTGTTGTAGTTTAAATCAACCAAAGAAATGATAAGATAAACTGAAATAAATATTGGCATACAAAGCCTGACATGTCCACCTGGGTTTTTCAATGCTTGAGTTAGACTGCTTGCAAAAACAAGTTAAAGTTACGCAACTTGGGCAAGTGAGGGCACCCTTAGATATTATAAACCATGAACAGAATATTGTTCGGTGGCAGCATAACTCCCTATAAAGGTAGTATGACTCTATTTATAAGACAGATAACTTAATAACTGATAACATTGCTGACTTGCATGTCATCTAGAAGCAGATGTCAGGTTACCTATGTGATGTAAAGTTATTTAATCAACATTATGCTCTATCAGCAAACCACCCTTATTACAGTATCCACAAAATTATTGCTATTAGTCAAAACAGCCACTTGAAAGTATTTAAAATACAAATGATCATTTGAATTGCAGTCTTCAGAGACTGTTGTTATGTTCATTTTACTGTGAAGATGATGATCTGCCCCTGAGCAAATCAAAGTGTCAGAAGTGCCCATCACTGAATTACCTATTTACTGCAGACAAAACACTGCAGCTAAAAACCTGAGAATTTGACATCAGATAAACATATCCACCAGGTCTCTAGTGATGCAAACTAACCTGTAAATATCACAATTTTTGTCAAATTACATTTAAAAGATTCTAGCAACAGTTTGTTCCTCTCATTAAAAAGCAGCACATCATCTCTTAGAAAACCTCTCACGGCCCCCAGCTTTGGAGAAGGATTTAAATTCCTTCCCTCAGGAAGGGAGAATAACCTTTTCATCAGAAGCGTTCTTTTAATCCTCCTCCTCCCTACTAGGGCCCATTAAAATTTCACCAAATTGTATCATCAAAATGAAGCCTGAGCATCTTTTGAGTAAAAGTTCCCTCCCACAGTGGGCATATTCCAGACTTCACCTGCAATTGCTGCCTCTGGGCAGCTCTTGCAGTGATAACAGGGATGTTCGAGTGCACCCACCGTGCTTGACTCTAATAGTATGGGGCAAGGCTCACACCTAGAGAAGACAGAGACTTAGACTGTGCCAGGACGGAGACTGATCGGAGCTGGAAGTTGGAAAGGTAGTGGAAGAGATCCGTTAGTTCTTCCCTTACTGGAGCCTGTTCAACTCTGAACATGGCACATGTTCAATGGGAAGGATAGGACAGACGTAACTCTTCAACTCTAAGAAGCCATCACTCAAACTTCATTTCGAAATAACTTAGTATGGATGGTAGAGATGGTAATGGTAGGGATGGTAAATGGCACATTCCTGACAAAAGAGAAGCCCGGTGTGGGAAATAACACGCAGAGGAATAGGAAACCACAGGAGGAGGAGACACTGGTATTGGGTGATGACCTTTGGAAGATACTTGGCATGCAGTGGGACTGGAGAACGCTAGTGAACAGAGGAATACAGATCACTACGAAGCTTGGGAAGAACAAAGACTGGATCAGACGAGGCCTCGATAAGGGAAGACTGGGCCTCCAGCAGATAGTCTTCTGGAGACTACAACTGGAGAGGTGCAGAAGCCGTCACGTCATGACCTGCTGGAAGCCAGAAGGGACGCGGCTCAAATAAGAACAGAACGGCTGAGACAAGATGGAACGGAGAAAGACCGGGATGGCTCAGCGGTTTGTACTAGAGGGCATCTTCCTACAAGGCCCAGAATAAATCTGACAGTTTAGGAGTCACATCGTGCCTCTGAGATATCCCCAAGCAAAACACTTTCCTGGTACAGAAAATGCTTTAGGTCATACTATTAGTTGAAGTTACAAGGCTCGGTGCAACAGAGCTAACACACCTGACTGTGCTGATGAAATGTGCTACAATGACAATTTTTTCTGGTGTCTCATTTAGAAACCTAAGAAACCAAACACACAAAATATTTCCATTTTAAAAACTAATACATAAAGTTAGATTAAGATTTACAATTCACAAATACTGGATTTAGGGTGCAACTTGAATTGCATCCTATTACATCCCTATTATAATGCAGTTTTTAGCTTTGCAAACATTTTCCATCTTTAATTTAGTTTTAATAATTTTATTTTTAATATATAACATTAATATATATTACTGGAGATTGAGTCAAGACTGTGCAGTGAAGGAGACTACGGCAGTAGTCCCATAAGTAACATTTGTTGCCAAAATTGTACAATATACTAGGGCTGAGACACGAACTGTAGGAACATGAAGAATAATTTATGGTGTTAAGGTATCTGAAAGTCATTTTGAGGACCTGGATGCTAACCCCGCTCTGCTAAACACCCTGGACCTATGTGATGCTAGTCGACGCTCTCTCAACGTAAATTCATCCTGGGTTTCTTTACCTATGTCCTCTTTACTACAGAAGTCTTCAACTTGATGCCAGTACACGATATGTGAACTGCTGAGTACTTATACAGGTAGGAAACAGAAATAGGAGTATTCTACATGTAGCAATTATATCTAATGTTAAATGTTTTAAAAAATCTGAACCTGTACGTAACAAGATACTACACAGACATACACCAGAAAGAAGACCATAAGGAGATTAGTAACTTTTTCGGATAAATTTACAACAGTACACAGGAAAAAAAGGAAGCGTCCATGAAGAAATACCAAAAGATTTGAACTCTGAAATAAGTACAAGTAGAAATATGGAGGAAAAACCTGCAAGGGCTGTAAAGCAACGAAAGGGGCAACCAGGTGCCCCAGAGTGGCTGGGCTATTTGATGCCTCCTGTCTCCTTACGGGCAAGCAATGGGGCAGAACCAGAGAGGTGACCAAAAAAGGCCTTTGGATTCAGTGGAATTGCAGACAATCCCTGCAGTCTGCTAAATATACAAATGCAAATCAGAAGATGGGACTTTTTCTTAAATTGTACTGTTTATTTCAACTTTTAACACCTCTTTAAATTTGCTCCCGGTGTCACCTTACTTGAGTCACGTATTTCGCTTCAGGGACACGAGCAAATAACTGGGGAGTTGCCAAAAGCCCTTCTGTGTTCTCACCACACGCCCTTAAACTCCAGTAAGATATTTTGAGGATGATCTTGGAAAAAACAACCACCAACATTGTCTCATTGGCATAAAAAATATTTCTCTTAAGTGCCGCATGACACACAAATAGAAGAAGAGCTTACCCCTTAAAAGGAGTTGAAGACAAATAATTATTTAATTCCTTTAAGCCTACGTTTATTGTGCTAAAGACAAGTACTGCAAGCTGACTTTAAATCCTCACACAGACTCAAAGTAATACATTTTCACTGCAATAGTAAACAAGCAACAGCAACCTAGAACAAATCCAATCGTAGTACAATTTCTACTTTTCCATCCTTTTATAGCTGTCCAGATTTTTTTTTTTCTCCTAAAGTCAACCATTTTCCTCTTTTTGTCTATGCTGATGCTTCATGTCCTAATACTTACTATTTCACGGTCTTTCTATCCCTGTATATTTGTAAAAAAAAGCTACAAGGCAAGATGAAACCAAACAGTTCATACATGTCTGCACTGAGCCCCTTGTCTGGTTAAATACAGCCAGACTTGACAAATTCTGCAATGCTCCTCAGCAATGGGAAATAAACTGAATTTATCTGAATAAACCTGTGCTCTGCCTGCAGCAGCAGCTGCCAGAGGGAGAGGGAAGAGATAAGAAGGGCAGATCTTGTTAAAAAGCGTATTTGGTCAGAATAGTTTTGATGTAATAACTTTTTTTGCTGTAAATTAGAAATCCTACACATGAAAGCTCAAACAAGTAGGCTGACATTTTACAAAGGCTACTGTAAATATCAGAAGATGCAATAAAAATGCAGATATCAAAGATCTCGGATGATTATCATAACCAACACAAGGAATTCAGAAAATTAACTCTTCAGTTTGGCCGATCTGCTAAGCTCCCTAAAATGAGAGTCTTAGGAAGCAAAAGAATTTAATTATTCCATTTCACTAGTAAATAAATGAGCATTTACTTACTTTCTGTTCCTTTTTCTGGCTCGGTTGTAAGCTTCTAGACCTTCTGTTAGTGTCTTCAACTTCTCTGGCTCCACCTGAGTGAAGGTATGAACACCAAACCACATTACCCAGACCTGCAATTATTAAACACTGCTTTTACTTTACTGCTAGACATGCATTATTATGGAGCCTAATTTTCACTGCATCCATAAGACACTAACCTTCCCAGCCAAGAATAAATTAACGTCTGGCTACATACACCCCCTCATACATATATATATATATATATATATATATAAAAAATAATTTCTTTAGATGCCCACACCACTAGCAATAGAAATACAGAAAACAAAAACATGACACTCACGAAAACAAAACTAAGAAGGAGAATAATATTTTTAAAACCTTGTTTGTCTTTATATTATTAATATGAACACTGTTGTTAAAGTCTCATAGTCTGTGCTCACATCTTACAAATATATTTTACACCTTTGAGACCACCTGGAATGCATTAAAATACCAAGTTGCCTAGTACACATGATACAATTTTTACAGATGCCATCAACACAAAAGTGTTTCACATCACCTCAAATTTCTGGATAAAGTATTTAAGGCCCCCGTTCAACCATGCTGCTAATGGCACAGCCAAATAATTCCCATTTCAGAAGAGGAACAGTATGTGCTTAAGTTAAAAGGCTTAAGGCCTTAAAAGGGGGGTGGGCAGGATGACAAGCTTTATTTATGCATTATGACTCTATGAGTCTTAACAAGAGTTCGCTTTAGCCAGCTAATTTATTGGTCCTGAGAAAGGTCTTTTAAGAATTTTTTTACTTAAGCACATATTTTAGCGATCTGCTGAGTCAGGAATGAATCTGAGCACGTGCTCAACAGGGTTGCTGAGCTGGTTTTTAAAGTACTTTAACTGGAAATTAAAGTTCTCTTGAAATCAACCAGAATTATAATTGTTTAAGCAATCTGTATATTAACCACTGCACATAATCACTGGCACCACTGCGTAGGTACCAGTTAGTACTAGTGTAAACAATACAAGCAAGAAAAAAATGATTTATATCATCTATACGATTTTATCATTTGCATTCTCAAAACATTAGTTCACTTAACTCTGCATATTATTTTGATTTGGCTCAGTCATTTCTGCTTGTAAAAACAAAAATAGGTATTTATAGCACATCCATTTAAAGAAAATGAATGGATTAATTCCTTTTTCTTTGTCAGTATTGCTACATTTTGCTTGACTTATTTTTTAATCTTTGCATAACTTAACAAGAACCTTATATAGCATTTGTTTCATTAAAAAGTACAGCTTGTACTCTGACACAAGTAAAATTAATTCTATAAATACAAATTTATTAAGCATGCCTATATACAATCCGAAAAAGAAATTTAAATGCAAATTGCCTCTAAACCCAGCCTTTCAATTACGAAATCATTTATATTCACAATGAAACTGATTTTTAGATGTGACAATGTGAAGTTAATGAGTGAGCAAGTTGTCAAAACCTCTAGAAATAAGGCCCAACATAACACACGTTTAGACCAAATTTCACATGCCTTGAACTTACGCATCTGACAATGAAATTGGGGAATTCTGCTGTTTCAGGAACTTACAAGACAAGAGTCATTAATGGTGAAATCTGCACAAGGGGAGGCAAGATTTCTATTTTCATGAAATAGATTCAATTATCCCACAGACTGCAGTGCTTCTCCCTTAAAACTGTGTTTACTTTTAATGCAAGACTGCAAATACCTCAAATAATTCCTCTCCTAATCAGACTTTGGAACAATACAAACGCATACATAAGAAATACTACCTATTTAAAACCTGCAGGGCTTTTCTAAGGATAAACATGAGAAGAAAAGGCAAACAACGCTCACGGAATGAACAAACTGGCTTCGAAAGCTTATACGTGACATCTCCTACATTAGAACAGTATTATCGGAGGCATCGTTACTCTGTCTGCAATACACCGCAGCTCAAGCCTTCATTTTATAGCGTGTAAGAAGAACCTTACATTTTTCAAACTGAACAGAATTAAAAGGCAATAACGTAACCACCTTGATCCCGTACCTTGGACACTTTACTATGTGACAGAGTTGTCATGAATGCTAAATTGTACATTATCCATATCCATGATGTATAGGCATACATAAGGAACAAACTTCGCAAAGGGTTGTATATGCCTGCCATTAGATTTATAAGAAAATTCAATGGTAAATATTTTTATGAAGGGCTAACACCATGTTTGGGTAACACGGGACTTATGTTAAGTAACAAAAAGGAATCAATATCTTCATTATTGGAAGTCTGTGATGGTAGAACAGTAAAAAACCTGCTAGCACTTTTTTGAAGAAGTAGTATCAAACTGCTAACATAACATGGTATTGGAAGCAACTATAACAGATATATTTGAATTAATAATGTCATATGCCTTCATTTACAATAAGCCATTACAACTCTAAGTAATACATACAAATGGGATTTTCAGGACATTGATAAATCACACCTATTATTATCTGTAGAACTATAAAAGCTCAGCTTAAAAAAACTAGTTTAACTGATGGAAAGTCCTATTGAGAACAATACTTGACCTGTAAGAATCACTATGAAATGTACTAATAACAGGTGACTACTGCTCACAGAAACCCTTTGACTTTCATATTGTTGCTCTCAAAGCCTTGTTCTTGTTTAGGTGATTTGATTTGGATAATATTCAAATTAATTACTTAATGAAATACACAGCCTCCGTTTCAGGATGCATGTAGTTTCAGGCTTGCTCCTTTCCTTTTCAGATATTTCTGCTGCTACTGCTGCACTTCCCTTGGGTTCCTCTTTAATTTTCCAACAGCCAAAAAGCCAGGGTTCATTACGAAACAAAGGTGCAATATTCCTCCCTTCTCCTGTTAGGGAAACACCATTCTAGCTGCTCTTCAAACAGAAGCATTATTACATTTAATACCCAAAGTCTTTTAAATGGAAACAAAAATCAAATTCTGTATGATATAAAGAACAGAGAATATACAAAGTACCATGAAATCCCAACAGCATGGCAAAACTAATGTTACAATATAGGAGGTTAACATTTGATTATACAAATACTCTAAAAGATGTTTTAAGAAAGCTCCACAGAAAACAGAATTTTCAGAACTGCTGCTAGTCACTCCCACAATGAATCGTAACCTTTCAGGATTTTTTGAAGTGCAGAATTTCTGAAGACCATTTAGTTTTCAAGGTTATTATTTCTTTTTGGTTTTCAAGGTGGTGATTTTTTTTTTTTCTCCTGTTTGGTGTGGTTTCTTTTTTTTTTTTTTCTTTTTCTTCAGACAAGGCTGCCCAAACATCTGAAGAATGTAGCTTTACAACATGTTATAGGAGTGTCTGAACACGTGTACAGATTGCCACTGTGCATGGCAGCTCCTATTTTCAACTAGGAACAGAGCTATTAGACAGCACGTACATATTTTCACTTCTTTCGTATTCCCCTGTATCCCACCTTTCAACCTCAACTCCTGACCTTTGGAATGGTCATTCCCTCTGTACTTCTTCTTGGGGAAAATTAGACATACTTTTTTTTCCTTTAATTTAAAATTATTATTATTAAAGGCCTTCTGATGTGAGAGGTGATCCATTAGGTGGGACTTCCTGATGAAGAACTTGAAACAGTCTCTCTTGCTGCCTCCACAAGCGCCTTGACGGTACTGCACGAGCAGCAATATACACATTTCCATAGATTGCTTCCCTGTTGTTTGTGCTTCAGTATACAATAAAATCTGTGCCACTGAATATAATATTACACAATGCTCATATAATTTACAGAAGAGACACAAAATTAAAGAAGGTGGGTTTGCACAAAAGCAACTATACATTCTGGTATCCACAAATTGGGGCGAAAACTTATAAAATTGCTAAGGAATGCAAATGAAAAAAAATTTCACCTCTTTACAAAAGTTATAAAAAATAAGCTCTTCAAATGTATCAGAACAGTCATATAGATATGGATACACAATTTTGTGAAGTTAATACATAAATGCATACTTGGAACACATGTGCAGTGTAAGAACTGTATTCGTAATTCGTATGGGACATTGATATTGCACCTCCTAATTTTTCCAGTTTTGTTTAATCTTTTATAGTTTGTGGTCTGTCTCACTTGCCTATACTTTCTAAACTGACTTCTAACTTGGGGATCTAACCTTTATAAGGAATGAGCTCTTAAGCATTCAAATACTGTTACTAAAGCATGTTGATTGCCCTACAAAAGTCTCTTTGAAACCTTTGTGGCTAAGGAGATCAACAGAGAAGCCAGCTGTAAAGCGAGACTACAGTTCTCTTGAACGAGGGTTGAAACCATTCTGGCCAACCATCACCCCAGTTATTTAGAGCACCAATTCATACAGACCTGTTGGACTGTATATGACATTTACACATCAGCCTTAGATAACTATACGATTAGGAACTGCAGTAAGACCAGCAGTGGTTACACTATAGATACACCAGTTCCAGCTCAAGAAGTACCTAAGCTACAAACTGGTGGGAGTCAGAGGCTGCTGGTGAAGAAGCGCTCCTCACCACATTCTCGTACTCTCTCCTCTGGATATTTGCTGTTGGACAAATTTGGGGGAAAGGAATACTTTGGTCCAACCCACTATCACCGTTCTTGTGACTGTTGTTGTGCAATGTACTAGGCAGGTATATGGGGAAAAAAAGACATAATTTAAAGTGGTTTGATTTCTTTGTGTCAGAGGCAAAAATGTTATTTCATTAGATCTTTCTCCTCACGTATCTTTAAAATTTGCATTTTATAAAATGGCACTCAAAGTATTTCCCATCTTCCATATATAAATATTTTTATAAGAACTACAAAAATATAAAGTTACAGAAGTAGTGGAGACCAGAATTTAAAATATTTATCATAATAAAATAACCAATAACTAACCAATAACTCCTTGATAACTGTATTTTCTGTATATTCCCCAACAAGCATATGGCTTGTCGACAAAAAAAAAAAAAAGGATTTTAGTATTAGAGAGCAAATTAGAATGCTTTCCTCACTATTAAAAGATGGTCAAAACCTCTTTTCAAGGTGAAAATGCGCATGCATTTCCTCTTAAAGAGCGTACATATAAATCAGCAAGCTTTTACTTATTATAGATTCCTCAATCTGATTAGATCACTCCTCCTTTTTGCAGTTTTCAACACTTTTAGATATCTCTATATCAGTTTCTTTGGACACAGCCAGAAGTTTGACTAAATACACAATGTAAGTTGAACAATTTTTTGTTAACAACATTTTTTTGTGTACCAAGTCTTTTGTGCACAAATTAGTAAAGCATAATCAGGCCAAAATATAATCTGTTTCATGGCATTTGTAGAAGTTTCTTATTAGTTAACTATGGGAAAGCTTCAGTTCTGCAAGCTACGGTTATGAAAAAAAAAAGCAATTTGTACTACTAAAACAAGAGACAAAGACTAAAATAAAGAATGGACCGAGATATGTTTTGATAAACATGGGTACATGTGTATATAGATAGATAGATATGTGCATATATATATAAATATACCTTCCCCTCCTCAGCGTTTTGTTGACATGAATTGTGAACTTCTTCTTCTCTTACTAGTTTTCCAGGCCACGAAGTCAGTCCTTTGATTTGGCCCCAGACCAAGTCGCCAACATTAAACGTCCTCGGCCTGTAATGTATCAGCTCATTTGAAGAAGGGGAATCTGGGTTCCTTAGGTCATCTTCGCTACTGATGCTTTTAGCATCTGAAGGGCTAGGCACACACCCATTAATGCTTTTGGCATTAAAATCTCCATTGTAATGGATATAGTCTTTAACTAACGAACTTTCCAAGCTATTTGAGGAACTTGGAGATTGCTCTTCCAGAATCAGGTCTTGTTTAGAAGTGTTCAGCAACTCCCCAAATCCTCTGTTCTGCTGAGGCCTATTTCCATTTATGTGTGCACAACGTTCCACAGTGTTCTCCAGTCTTTCCTTAAAACTCATCATAGTTCTTTTGTAATTGTTATACCTGAAATTCTCCTCCAACATTTTATCACTTTGACAGTTTCGCTGTGATAACAGTAACTGATGCTGCTCGCCTTGTAGTAATGGCAGTGTGGAGATGTTATTGGGCCTTTCGTGACAAGGACTACTATGGATATGGGTAGAGTGGTCTAGAAACTCATCACATTTCCATCTATTTATCTCACTGACGGGACTTTGCTCCCCTTCCCACTGTTTTTTGGGTGTGTTACAACTTGTTGATTTGTAATATTCATACCCATCCCCTTCACTCAAATTTTTACCGTGCTCTGAATTCTTCAGTATTCGTGTTCCTCTAGTGTTCCTTATCCTACCTTCATGATCAGAAACGGCAATGTTTCTTCCATGGATTACTGCACTGACAGCACTAGAAAGATTTAATGGGTCACCAATTGAGGCTGTGAAGGCACTCATGGCACTCAAAGCTGGAATGGGACTCATTTGTGTTGTACTGCTAACGGCAGTGGTGATTACTACTTGCATTCCTTTGCTTGCAGCATCTACAACTGCTTTGTAGATAGCGTCCACCGATGTATCACCCTGAGCAGCGACATTGAGGTTATCCTTTGCCTGTTGTCCAAGAGATGGTTCAGTTCTTTGCTGCAAATCACAAGATGTTTCTTGGAAAGGAGGAAGCATAGTGTTGGAGCTCTCAGGAACTGGTGCCATTCCCATTTGAGTGATCATTCTTTTGTTTAGGACAGCAGCATCTTCCTGCATTCTCACCTGGAAATAGTAGAGAAAAAGATGGGAATTACTATTCTGCCTAAAGTTCCATTTCAACAGACACACTTTGTTGCATTTTAATAAAAAAATAAGGATGGTGGCCAGGGTGACTATTTGTTACAGTACGTAATTTTATTTTGGTTATACATCTGTTATGAAGTTTAATGCTGAACAAGCTAGATGGAAAACAAAAAAGGTATAATTTGGAGGAAAACAAAAACACTGGCTCTTAGACTTTGCCTCGTGGATCAAAGTAGATGCCTTGCGTGAAATGATGCAACCTACCATGCGCTGCACATTATCATCTCTTTCAGAGTCTTTTAAGGGATTTCCTCTTCTGATTGAAGTACTGCACCCTCCTTTTTTCTCTCAAGTCCTAAACAACTCCACCAAGGCCAATATTTCTGTTCTCAACTATTCTCTTTCGTTCCTTCCCAGACCTTACTTTTGCTTCTTTCCTCCTTACCCACTGTTCTGTGCTCCCTGTATTCTCCTCATTCAATTTCTGGAACGTAGGCCATCACTGTCCTTTTGGAATTGGCTAACATTTCTATTTTTTCCCTTTTGGTTATGCGCTTCTCTTGTGGGATCTCTTTTTACTTCAGTCCCTTGTAAACCATGCCTGCATCCCTTTACACCGCAGCTGTAATGTCAGGCACTGCCACAGTAAACTGTAACCTTCAGATTAAAGTAACTGTGCTTTTTATATTTCTTGTCACATACATAGGCAGCAAAGCTGATGTCAATAATAGTGCTATAACAAAAAAACTGTAAAAAACAAGGGTAAAATATTTCCAAAAGCTCCTTTAGATACTTACAATTACTGTTTATATAACTGAGAATCTGAAGCAAAAAATACTGAGATAAAGCTACCAAAACTCACACAAAACCAAAGAGAGGTAATAGGCAGTTAGAGGACTATGATTTTGCAAAAGCAGTGAAACATCTACACTGAGAAAATGGCACGTCTTCTTCCTTCTTAAGAGGTAAAAGCACTTTCTGGCACTATCTGCATGCTTCCGTCTTCACGCCATGAATTCTGCAGCAACCGCAGTAATACTGAATAATAATAAATATGTATTTTAACTCTGGTTTTATTACCTATTTTGGTTGCTATGCTTCCTGTCAGTATGTTAGTTTGATAGTTCAACTTGCATTATGAAGAATTGTCTATTTAGGTGGATAGCAGGGAGGTATAATTTTTGCACAGTTTGTCACTGTATATTCATTCTAATACCTGTTTTCTTCAGTCTATACAATTCACATCACAGCTAGCTCTTCCATTCAATTTCAGTGGGAATATAAGAGAACTGGTACCCACGGTCCCCTATAATCATTTATTAAGTTTCTAATTACTGCAAAGTGGTATCAATATTTATTTCTCACCGCTGAATTGTTAGAGTGGTCTAAATGGGAATTTACAATCATTTCTGCAGAATGGAAAATAGTTTTGCTAAAAATGAATAGTAATTGTCAGAATATACATAGCATTTTTTTTTAATATATGCAGCATAACTCTTTCCAAAGAAACTATACCCAATTTCTAAGAAAGAAGGTATAAAATTTCAGTAACAAATGTTACTGATTTGCAAAATCCAAGACCTGCTGAAAGAGGCAAGCAATTGTATATATCATATTGTCTTAATCACTTGGCAAAAAAACCAGACTATGGAGGATGTAATTTTACCTACTGAGAGTTGCACATTTGTTTGAATATTGATTTCATTTTGCTTTCTACCTGGAAATTTTGGAACAGACATGCCATGGGGTTTGGGTTGTTAGCTGGGCCAGGAATTGGGGGCTGGCCTTGAAAGCTCTGCATGTTCTGGTACCCCTGGAGAAGGTGCTGTTGCTGCTGATTTGAAGGAAACATCTGATTGTTGTTTAATAGCGACTGGAGATGACTCAGCTGATGGTTATTCAAAGCAGTGTTTATAGATGACATGTCACCTGTAATTCAAACACAGGGAAACATAAGTCAGTATAGTTTTCAACAGTCAGGAGGAATTTCCTTGACTCCAATTTTAACTGACTGCTAAGCAAACGCCTCTGTAAAACAACACTTTTCCCCTTCAATCTTCTACGGAATGGTCCTCAAGGCATGTGTCTCCTACTCTTTATTCCTGTATTTCTTCAGTATCACTTCTTTTGCACGTCACATCTATCTGGACTCTTTCTAAAGGTTTCTGACATGACTGTCTTTGCCTTTGGAACGGTACACAGCCAAGTATGGCAGAATGAGCTTCTATGATATTTGGTGTCTTGGAATTTTACTCTTAGTTTCCAAAGAGTGACTGCTTCAAACAGTACTGGGGTGGTGAGGGGGAGAAGGAGGAGGAGGGGAGAGAGAGAGAGAGAGAAAGAGAAAATAATTTGAAAAAAACAACAAAACTAGTTTTTCATTAACTGACAAAATGACATGAGCTAACTGCAAATGAGCAAAGGCTTTTTGGCTCACAGACATGTCAGCCAACACTAAACAATTTTTTTTTTTACGGTCTAGAGAAACAACTGTATTCACATTTTGTATTATATGAAAATCTCACTTTACATGAATGAAAATTATAGTTCTAGTAAAAAACGCTGCTGAACCTGACTTTATGAAATAATAAAGCTTAAAAATCCATCCATTTCCTAGGTGGCTTTTTGTTTTTTAATAAAAAGCTCATGTTTTTCTTAAAATTGCCATCTGCAGAATCATTGGTTAGCTGTACTTTACACGGAAAATGCAAAGCTGAGTTGAGTTCACGATAGCCATTTAGTAGGTAAGTATGAAGTAATAAGTTAAAATACTTATCAGCTCTTTGCCACTACTTAATTCCTCCTCCTAGTCTATTTATTAGATTACATAGTCCAAACAACAGAGGAGTACTAACTGTATTACATATTCTTGGTAAAAATCATCAAAAGACCCAGGAGAAAAAACTTGTATTTAAGGGCTTTTTAATCACTTGTTTTGCGATGTACATGTTTGTCAAGTGAAATACCCTGGGTTTCTAAACTACAAGCTAAACAAAAAAAACCCCAAAAAATGAGAAATGAGAAAATATAAATACACAATAAAGGGCTCGAAGGGCAACCTTCCTCTTTGAACTTGTGCAAGGACCTACTTCGAGTGCTTTACGGATTACTTTACGGGGAGCGTGCTTATGGTTTTGGCACCTTTGATTCATTGGGAAAAATGCACTTGGCCATTTTTCATCTACTGCACAGCTACTCGTACTAACCCTGTGATGCCACATACACTTGGAATGAAACACCACATCCCAGAGATGCACCTGTGCTTTTACTACTTGAAAAATGAAACAAGTCCAATTGCTTACAGAATTTTAAGGTATATATAGTAGGTCTAGGTGGCATCAGAATTAAGAATGGAATATAAAATAATTTCCAAAACTAGTATTAAATGTTACTGAATTAAGTTAGACTGTATTTTAAATTTCTTATAATAACAGTTATGTTTTCCTCAACAGAAATAAACAAGCTGTAACATACAAAAGCCTTACAAAAAGAAGTATGATAAAGTGGAGTCTTTAAAAAAAGAAACTAGAATCCAAAACTCCCCCTCCCCAACCCTCTTCCTTTTTTTTTTCCTTTTTTTTTTTTCCTTTTATATCTGTGAAGAAATTGAACTTACCAAGCAGACCTGTCCCCAGTAGAGGGTTAAGTAGCTGTGGCACCACAGAGTTATTGTTGAGTTTAGCTGGACCAGATGTATTCCCAGCATTATTAGATATGTTCAGCAATGTTTCTGCCATTGACACCACTGCTGTCCCACCACCCAGGGTTGAGACAGACAGTGCTGCCACTGCTGATGATGTAGTGGTTGTGGTAGTGGTTGCTTGGGAGGAGGTGGCTATGGAAACCTCTGGATGATTAGCGGTGTTGCCCGATGCAGAGTTCAGGACACCTCCCACCAGCTGGGGATTCAAGGCCATTAATGCTGAGGCCCCAGAGACAGCTGGGAGGAGCAGGGGGTTAGAAGTAGTGTCAGTGCCTGAAAAGCTGGGTATGGGGTTGCCCAGGGGGTTGGTTAAAAGGGTCTCCACCCTGTTGCTTTCTGACTGATTGCTTGGCAAATGGTCAGGTGGGGCTGTCATCTGGGTTACTGAGGGTAAAGGGTTATTTTGCTGTTGCAGCAAATCTGAGATGGTCAGATTGAAAGATGGTAGGGGAAGCATGGCAGCTGCTTGGGCTTGGTTCTGAAGGAGGGTTGCTAGAAGCTGAAAATGAACAGGTTGTAATACCTGCCCATCCACGTCACTGGAGAGAAAAGCTAAAGCAGCATTTACATTCGGGTTGAGAAAACCTAAAGGGTTGAGGTTGACCTCAGACTTGCCTTCTCCTGCTGAAGGCTGTAGTATATTTAATAGATTCTGGTTTAGGAGATGTTGCTGATTCACTGGCAAAGAGATAGGTAGAGAATTGAGGAGGTTTTGATTCAAAGAATGTGGAAGATTGTTGTTTGAAGAGCTGTTCTGCGGAAAATGAAGCGAGTGTTCGTGGCCAGCAAAAGGGAAATCGCTCCCAATGGGCAGCTGGCTCTGAAGTGGGTTTCCAGCTGCAGTAGTGACTATAACACCATCTTGAAGCACAGATGTTGTCTTTGTGATGGCCGGTTGGCTGGTGCCAGCTATGGCTATTGATGATGACGGTCCTGAACCCCCTGCAACGCAAAAGAACAAAACTATTAACAGCATACTGCCTGTTGGGAGACTATCATCAAAGTTATAAACTAACTAGATCAATCCAAAACAGTAACGTTTGATACCCATGCACAGGAAAGAAAATCTTTTGAGCATCCGGACTTGAGTATTTTTTAAATATGAACGTATCTGCCATCAGCTACTTCCCATACTACGTGCTGTGCTACATCTCATTGGAAATTATTTAACTATACACTTGTATTTCCCTTAAATTTCTTTGAGTGCGGATACTATAGGATTTTGTTCATTACGTATTTTGATTAGCATAAACCTAAAAGCAACCATAACTTAATGTAGCTAGTCGTGGACCAGTATGAAATTAACTACTAGGAAGAAGGATCAATGGGAGACATGAATGAATTATTTTGGACTCCTGAAGAAAAAATACAATCATGACAATTGCATGTCATGACAATGCCTGTGATAAAATCTAATGAACAAAACATATTATGGTCAATGTAGGTTAGCAGACAAAAAACCCCAACAATTTATAAAGAAAAAAAAATGTAAATAATTGGGGTGGTCTAGTCATATCCATCACTTGGCTTGAAAAGAAAGACCAACTGGGTAGATTTACTGTGAGGGTGTTACATGGAAAGAGGGAGAGAATAATAAAGTTTATTTGGGTATCTTTATAGCCCTTTACCAAATCTGAAGTATAAAATAAATTATTCATTGTCTTTCACTTAAGGCAGAGTCTTGAACTGACAGTGGTCATACACAAAAAACATGTAAGAGGAGACTAGAAGAATTAAAGCAAGTGAAATTGCCGTGAACTATGCCTTTCTACTTTATCCATTGCAATTCACTGGAGAAAATTTGGGTATTAAAATTATCTACTGCATTTATATAAAACTGTATAATTATAAAAGTATTTAACTATGGTTTTGATGCAATAAAATAATTTTCCATTCCAACTGCCCGCAAGTATAGCTCACGTGACAGAGATCAGAAGTTATCGATCATGATCCATATGATTCTATGATTATCAGAAAGTATCACTTATCATTTCTCTAAACAAATACTGTTTGAAAAGGGATATGCAACTGCACTGTTAACTGGTAAGAACTGAATCAAATCTTTACATCATTTGTAACTTAAAATACCATTTTTCAAGTACTGTAACGTTATGACAACTCAAAAAGGTACAAAATTAACACAGTACATGAGGCCCTATATTGAATTCATGAGAAGAAAGATCACACCCTCTCTCCCAGGTGCCATTATCAGTACAGAAATTAAATAATAAATTAACAGAAGATAAAGTAAGAACAAATTGTAATCATAAAGCAGAGGATATCCTATTCTGCTGTGATGAGAAATATGTTAACAAAGCAGTAAAAGCAGTTTCATGACAAGTACATTTCTCTAGGCAGCAGTTTGGAACAAAAAAACAGATAAGCACTTGAGGAACGAAAAGCCAACCATGCACTCAAAATATATGTCCCACTGGATTTCCACTTATGGTTTTGTGTTTAACATTTCAGATTAGGCAGGAATAGCAAATGCTCTATATCTTGACACCCCCAGGCCTGGCAAATGTCTCATACATACTGAGAAACTGGCACCCACGCCCTCCCCGGCTTTCTAGCTCAGAAATACAGACTTCCAAATTATAGACCCTTCCCAATAAAAGTCAATGAAAAGCTGCTAATCAGACAAGTTGCTCAGAAATTATTCAAAACTAAGATGAAGCTAGTAACAGCAAACCTATTGGTAGAGATGAATGAAAACCACAGCTTTCTGCCAATGTATCTGTCCTGCTACTCGTTACCTAATTCTGGAGGGAAGCCACCTCTGGCAATGCCTCCAAAATGAAACATAACAGAAAAAAGAAAGATTCTCTCAAGCACATGTTTACACATCCAGGTGTACATGACCTACTGAGATGATATGTTAGAACAATTTTTCTTGTGTGTGCACTTTTTTTTCCTTTCAGTATTTTGCTGTTTTTGTAAATAAGCCAATAGTAAAGCACAGTTCATACAAATGAATGGCATAACACAAAATCAAATTCAACGTGTATGTTTACTACTTATTTTTAACACACAACCGTAAACTCTGGCTACTCAAATTCAATTACACAAATCCCAGAGAACCTAAACTAAAATACAACTGCACATCTTCCTTTTTTTTAACTAATCTCTGAAATATTTTAAACTGCATTTCTAGAAAAGTAACAGAGAAGTCTTTACAATCTTGTGGCTAAAAGCAAATTCTTTTTGTTTCACCAGAGAAAAGAAAACACGCCCACTTGTAATAGTTTCAAACTCTCATGCCAGGCTTGTAACGGATCAGTATGCTACAGAGCCCACACTGATACACATTATTAACTATCAGGTACCTGTTTGCTCACAAAAAAGGAAATTTTCAAATTTTTCTATTTTGTTTTGTTTAAATCAGTACCCAGAACTGACATTCCAAGGATTTAAATATTAGGAGAAGTCCCAAACTAGAGATGTAAGAAATACCATTACAACGCCATTCCTATATGGTTTTAACAGAAGAATCAGCTGTACCACTCAAATGACACATGACGGATGCCTACCGTACTTAAAAAATACATAGGGCCTCTTAAATAATGTTGGCTGAAAAACTGCTCGCTGAACCAAAACTGTCACTGCACTTGAGACACACTTAACATGAGTGTCTCTAGTTGTCATCTAGTTTAAGATGGCTAGGTAATACCCAAACATCTTCAGATGGCTATTTCTCCCACTTGTAAATGACCTTCCATATAAAATCTTACTGTCATATAGATAAAACCAGGCTACCGTCAGCTTAGCCTGACCTGCAGGAATAGTCTGATATACTGGACTTTCTAAGGCATGAGTTCGTTTCAGGCAGTATTTTTTTGGAAACTCTTTACTCCCACAATAGGAGAAAGACAGATATACAAGCTTTTTCCTTGGTAGCTAAGGCAGGCTTCCCTCGCTACTAGAAATCGTATTCAATGTGTTAAGCAGCACTTGGATAGATTTTTAATTCAGGCATGAGGAAACTATTCTATACAGCGAGCTCTCATGAATATAAAACCTAATTTTGGTATTTTCAAGTGGACCTAATCTCCATTTTTAATTTATTTATGATCCTACTTTCCATTCCACGCAGGTAAATGACCACATGGAAGAGTATCTGGTGTGAAGCAAATCTCAAACTTGTAAAATTGTTGCTAGGTTTTTGTCAAACACTGCTCTGTTTTCTAACCCCCGTCAAACACTGCTTCTGGAGATCTAACCTGAGAGGTCTAGAGTGCATTCAACACTTGTCCTTTCTCCAGATTAATTAGGCAATTAATTAATTGCTACTAGGGAAAGAAAGAAAGAAAGAAAAAAAAAAAGGGTGGATTCTGAGTAGGAGGAAGAAAATGTGTCCTTATTTCAATCCAGACTTGAGAAGTTTGGGAGTTGAAGAGGCGATGAGCAGCCAGACTTCAGCAGGAAAAGAAAACACAGGCAAATATCCCCCCCAGCTTCTGTTAAACCTGCCCCACAGAACGACACGGTAGGAATTGGTGTAGAGAAGTCCTGAATTGGGTAGTAGCCAATACAATATTTACAACTGCATTCTGGGACAAATCTATCTCCAGCAACAGACTGAACTGCCACAATATGATCTCTGGATCTCTTCCAAAACGCCACCTCCAACAAGTCAATATTCCAGATGAAGAAATGCATGCAAACCCATTCTCATTAAAATATAGTGCTGCTAAACTTCTTTTGAACGTTTGGCCCCAATCCAAAAGACAAAAATCTGAATTATTTTTTCCCCTTTATAAAACATGGATAATTTCCATAACTGTGATTGATAGCACTGAATAAACAAGGTGCAGAAGGCCATCTTCCTCTGGGAGGACCACGAGAGCCCTCGGAGAGCCCTCTGAACTGTCCTTCCCCAGTTTCAAAATGAAATCTCCAAGATCCAGGACAAATATGAGCAGTCCTGTCTTTTCGACTCACGAAAAGACAAGGTGCAATGAGAAGAAAGCGATGCCTGGCATCGGCAGCGTGAAGCTGTGAAGAGTTCTCTGAACAGCACGGAAAAATGTAACGTGCCCCATCGAAGCAATGCTATCAGCTACACTGCAAGTACAAGAGAAGAAAAGTCCTAATAAGAGACCTGTCCTTCCAAATTGGGCAGCAGCACCAAAGTGTAGCAGAGGTGATCTGGAACTGACTCTGGATGTCCTCTGAGGTCTGTCTTTTATTCAAAGTGATATCTAGACCCATACATTGTATTTTCTAGAATTTTCAACGAGGGCAGGATGACTGTGGAAACCAGATGGTGGATGTCAGCTGAAAAAAGAGCCCCACGCAAACAAGTTGTCTTGGCCAGCAGTGCTGTAAGGAAAGCAGGACTGCAATTCCGACCGCTTGGATTTCTTTCAGTCCTGCAGAAGGATGACAGCCAGAAGAAAAGAAGATGCACCGCAGCACCAAAGAGTTTCGACAGCGTGTTCGCTCACCCAAAACTCCACCACGAAACGGTTCGTTATTACTGTATCCAGGCTCCAAGATGACAGTTAGGAAGCTTTTGATGAGAAACACGAATGGGAGTTGAAAGCTAAAAGGAAATCACAAGTTTGATTCCAAGTTTCATAAAAACAAGGTATTTTGAATCCTGGAAACCCAAGGTATCGTACATGTTGGCTCCGTAAACAACAGGCCTTAATAACCAGAAGCTCTTAAGAGTAAAAGGGGAATGAAAAAAAGATGAAGGAGTTAGACTAAAAGCCATAAAAGCCTAAGACAAACGCTGGCTTCCAGCTCCTGCAGACAGAAGTGCCTGCCAAAAGTTTCTTTTGCCAGTTGTTGAGAAAAAGGAACCGTCTTTGTAATGCAGCGAGAAGAAATATCCAGAATGCTGAAAAAGTAGATCTATTGTTCTCTTAGAGAGTCAAATAAATGTTTTGGGAGTAAATAAATGGAAATTGAATAGGACATATATTTTTTTAAATTAT